GCTAGTCATTCTCGTTTTCAAATTGATGGTCCTTGGACCAAACGCCAGCTTGACAGCCTCCACTCTTTCTCAATGTGGCAATGTGTGTATTATGAGGCCATGAAACTGAATGATGTCCTTAAACGACCACTTGAATTCACTTCTCCAGCTCTTTTATTTAACGGTAGACTATGCTTATATTATGCTTGCATGAAAGAAGCAGATTTTGATGTCATCAAAGAAGAGACGCTGACTAAATTTCCAGATATGGCAAGACTCTGTAAGGAGCTGTTATCAATATGCAGCCCTAGAGAGGTTTCTAGGGGTAGCTCATCTCATAAAGCAAGCAAGGAGAAGCATAAGCAACCTGCAGCAGCAGCAAAAAAGACCTACAGCAGATCTACACCAGTTAGCACTGCAAATCCTTTTGGGCTCCTGGCAGATCTTGACGAAGAAAACTAAAATCTAAATATGATAATGCTTGGCTTTTTAGTTGTTATTCTTTTAATGACAATATATTATTTTGTAGATCTATGTTAATCCTTTAATTTTTTTGCAACAAATCTTATAGAAATATTAATGTTAAGAACTTCATGCACAGGACAGAACTGTTAATATTTTTCATACACTGCATACATGATGCATTTTGCAGGAAGCTAGCTCCACCCCAATATTGGGCGTGTCATAACTCAGCCACACCTCCTGCTCGCAGCAATTTTCAGCAGCACTAGCTACGGTATGGCGAATCATCAAGGTAAAGAAAGTGAACAGCTTACCTGTAATGTAGTGTATTTATACAGGCGGTAAGGCATTCGGTGCTCTGAAGAGACAGCAAGAGGAAGACTTGGACGCCGTCAACCAGGTAAAACAATGATAGAAGAGAGCTTGCATTAAAATATCACAGAGCTTCATCACAAGCAGGAATTATGATGATGACGAAGATACAGAAAGCCCACTAGCAGAGAGGCTGGACAAATACAAAAGTAACATTAAAAGAGAATGGATAATTTTTTATTATCTAGCTTTAAAATTTTAGAACAATTTATGGAGTTTGATGAAGACCACTCTGGAGACATAGGTGAGAACTAAGACAGCAAAAATGTATTTATTTCTTTGTCTCTCTCTCTCTCAGATATCATGGAGCTCAAACGAATGATGGAGAAACTAGGTCAGGCCAAGACGCACCTGGAGCTGAAGAAGATGATCCAAGAAGTAGACACAACTAAAAAAGGTAAACTGAGGGGAAAGGAGAGGAAGTGGTAAGCCATTGAAGTATATCGAGTAAAAACAGATGTCTGGAACATATTCTAACATGCTACCATCAATATGTACATGTTTACACCCACATGCACTACACAGGCACCATCAACTATCCCGACTTCCTAACGATGATGCTTGGAAAAAAGAACAGCATACTGAAGCTGTAAGTCCGATACTCATACTCTCATACTTCAGTACCAAATACAAATGTTGCTATTTTAGGATCCTAAAGTTTGAAGAGATGAAGAAAGAAAAGGAGAGACCAAAAGGTGTAGCACCCAAGAAATCACTAGCAGATTTGCCTTGAGAAGACAGCTAGACAGTATACATATAGTTTGTTAAGAAAACTGCGAAATAATTTGCATCTTGTATTGTAATCGCTACAAAATAACACACAATAATAATAATGATAATAGTAGTAGCAAGCGTCTTATCGAGTGGAAATTTTTTGAATTTTATTTTTGTAAAAGAATAAAGCAATCAAACTAAACCTAATATCACTAGAGCTATCAGATGATTGTAAACAAACCATCCTACCTACAAATACTACAGCTTTATACTACCACTACTACTAAATTGTTAAAGTTCAAAGTTCACTACTTGGTTTTGCTATTAAAGTGGAGAGCTCAAAATGGCCACACCTCTCTCATAATAGGCGTGGTCCCCGTCAGCGGAAACTCCATCGGCATCAAAGGAAAGGGTAAAGAGCAAGACAGAACGAGTTTGGTTCAAATAAACGGGCAAAACAACCTAAAAAAACATTAAAAAATAGACTCTAATATATCACTTGTTACTCCTAAGGGACAGATAGTGTTTGAACTTTAAGTGAAGGTATATGCACTTATTAGGGAAGGAGATTATGATCTTTTCCATTGAAGGGATAAACACTAACAGATTATTATCATAAAAACACACACACAACATACCATATAAACACTCTATGTTTACTAACCATAGACCCTTCTACTATCATACACTTAAACCCATATGCATATCTAACGGCATCTACAAATACATTCTCATCCTTTTTGTAAGCTCTCTAGACCTTTACTAGTAATTTCTTGTACACTTCACTCTTCTACTTAAACCCATATGTATAAAATATATATGTAATGGCATATAATGGCGAATAAACAAGGCCAGCCACAGATAAAGTCACTACAGGACAATCTTTCATCTCTCTCCCTCTTCCTATATACCTTTCCTAGTGATTTCTTGTATGCTTCAGAAGGATTCACTCTAACCCACTTCAGACAAGTGAGAGGAAGTTCATTGACGATGGTGGCAGTTAGTGACAGCCTATTGGCGGTACATTTAGCTCCTTGTAGCCTCAATCCAGTGACACCAAAACTACAGTCATCCAATTGACCCTATAGAGATTGGACAAACATGAACGTGACATAACAACGATACAAATAATATGGGAAAACGAAGTGTAATAGTGCCAAATGTAAACTCTGTGGAAATGCTATGTTTGGTAATAATATGATTATAAATTCATAGTGAAGATAGTGGTGTTATCCTCATGACAATACAGGCACTATCAGAAGAAAAAACTATTTTTAATTTCTACTTTATAAAGTAAAGAAGCACAATAGAATATGTGAAATGAATGTATACACACAACACAAATGTATGAGTTTAGTTGTGTATGTACATGTATGTATTTTATACCTTAAAATCTACCAGTACTTCAAGGAATAGTTCTTCAAGTGACCAGGAGTTAGCTTGAGCTACAAATTGTCTTGTGGCCGTGATGTAGGCCTCAGGAGTAAACAGACCACCCAACCAGACATTAACAGACTGTGAGAATAGGAGAGAGAGGGAGGGAGGGAGAGAGAGAGAGAGGGGGGAGAGAGAGAGAGGGAGAAAGAGAGAGGGAGAGAGAGGGGGGGGAGAGAGAGAGAGAGAGAGAGAGGAGAGAGAGAAGTGAAAGACACGTAGTTACAATTTTCACAGGTCAATAAGCAACAAAGATTATATATAATGTATAAATTTGTTCAATTTGGCAAGCGATGTATGTATACTACAAAGTAGAGGCGGATAGCAGCTGCCAGTTTACCGCTTGTACGGATAACATGAAACAAACTACTATAACTATGTACATGCAAACAAAAAACCAGAAAAGGAATAAGTAGCTGGAATTGTACTACTACTAATATTTAATAGTAATAAGACTAATAAAGCAAGAATAGTGAAATCATCTCATTTCTTTTTATCATTACTTTTAAAACGTGAGATCCTTCGTTAAGGACTTGATTCGATATTGATTGAAGCTGCTTGACTCTCTCACTGAAATCAACGACCCATTGCAATACAGTGAGACCGGGTGGAACAATGTATATAGACCAACTTCTTGGAATGATACCTAAAGAAATGGAGTAGGAGGGAGATAATGTTACTACACATTATTTTTACATGTACATGTACTTAACTGACGTCAAATATGTCATTTTCATATGTACATGCATTGTAAAAGCATGTATACATGTAAATTGACAGTGAAGTTTAAACACAAACAAATATTGGATATGTACAATAACATTGTGAAGAATAGAAAAACAAAACAGATTAGTCTACATCTTATACTGAAATAAGTTACAAAACAAAAGTCCCTATAAAATACAAGCATAAAGGTAGTACAATGTTAATGCATAATTCATGGCTGGGGAAATTTCTACAATTGCAATTTGTCATAATCAACCTCACAAGAGATGGGGAATTTTCAATTCATGCATCAATCATGCTACAGTATTAATCAACTTCCTTCCCTCTTTCTTACCTTTGGCTAAATCACTAATCAGCGTACGAAGGTAATTGGTCTGTTTTCTTTTGGTCTCGCAAACCTCAACAACATTCATCAAATCGTTCCTCACAGTCGCCAGTAGCTTAGAACCGCTCGTGATCTCCCTCTCGAAGAACCTAAACAGAGGATCCTTGATGTTATCAGCTGTTCTTCGTAAAACGTTCAAAGATTGAGGTATGATCTTTAACCAGTCAAGAGCAGTAACGTGTAGGGTTCTCATCCATGCTGGGCGACCATCACTCTTCTTGGACAAGTTCTCACTGTGTGAAAGTAAAGGAGGAATCAATCAATGAGAGGTCATTTGATAATTAATTAATAATCAATAATAATAGATCATGTGATAGTCATGTGACGTGTGTGTGTCCAAGCGTCCAGTAACATCATTCAATGGCACATGTCACTGGATAGAAGACACATTAATTAATTAATAATTATTGGTCTCTGCGACGGGAACGACAACTGGACACTAATGCAAGACCAGCTGTAACTTTAAGCCGCAAAAAAAATTATTTTATTTTTATTTCTTACGTTATTGTGGTACCAACTGAAGAAAGGAAGTCATCATCATCACTTAGCGACTGCATTTTAAGTAGTTTAGCAGTCAGGGCTGATCCTTTTGTAGTTAAAAGAACAACTTCGGCATTGTTAGGTAGACCAAGCCAAGATGGAGTCTGGTGAACTGGGAGGTTCTCTATCCATTGCAGGAACTGCTCACGTCTTTTAAAAAAATAAAACGTTAAATCATAAAATTAAATAATTATTTAGAAATTAAATATTAATGTTAAGAGCTCAGATATAGCAAATGTCACCAACTGCCAAGTCGGCAGTTTTGCCTGCCCTCATTCCGGCAGGATCCGGACCCCTGCGATCTCATCATTGCTCTTGTGGGTGTGGTTAATTGGCGGGCGTGGTCTCACCTTATGCCTTCGGGGATGGGAACGTTGCGGATTCCATCAACGTTAGAGACGAGAGGGAAATCAACTTCAAAGCTTTTGACACTGAAGAGGCGACTCACAAATGAATTAAGTAACCTCTGAATAAAAAGAAGAAGGGACATATTAAAATATAATGAAAATCTCGGGGCCGTTTTTGGTAAAAATATTTTTGTGCAACTTTAAAAAATCATAAAAAATCCAATTTCGATCGGAATCAGCTCAAACGTTCTACACAACATAAGAACATGTATATGCATCAAGAAAAATTATAAAAATGGAGAATCTGCTACTTTTCAAATTTGGCGAAATTTGGTCCGAAACCATGTACTATATAGTACAGGGACTTTGACCCAATTTTTGAGCAACTTAAAAAATTCGTAAAAAAACTAAATTTGAACGGAATCAGCTAAAACTTTCTACACAACATAAGAACATGTATATGTATCAGAAAATGTTATAAAAATTGAGAATTCTCTACTTGACATTTTTGGCAAAAATTGGCCGACGCCCCTGTACTATAGTACAGGGACTTTGACCCAATTTTTGAGCAACTTTAAAAATTCGTAAAAAATCTAAATTTGAATGGAATCAGCTAAAACTTTCTACACAACATAAGAACATGTATATGTATCAGAAAATGTTATAAAAATTGAGAATTCTCTACTTGACATTTTTGGCAAAAATTGGCCGACGCCCCTGTACTATAGTACAGGGACTTTGACCCAATTTTTGAGCAACTTTAAAAATTCGTAAAAAATCTAAATTTGAATGGAATCAGCTAAAACTTTCTACACAACATAAGAACATGTATATGTATCAGAAAACATTATAAAAATTGAGAATTCTCTACTTGACATTTTTGGCAAAAATTGGCCGACGCCCCTGTACTATAGTACAGGGACTTTGACCCAACTTTTGAGCAACTTTAAAAATTCGTAAAAAATCTAAATTTGAATGGAATCAGCTAAAACTTTCTACACAACATAAGAACATGTATATGTATCAGAAAACATTATAAAAATTGAGAATTCTCTACTTGACATTTTTGGCAAAAATTGGCCGACGCCCCTGTACTATAGTACAAGGACTTTGACCCAATTTTTGAGCAACTTTAAAAATTCGTAAAAAATCCAAATTCGATTGGACTCAGCTCAAACTTTCTACACAACATAAGAACATGTATATGTATCAGAAAATGTTGTAAAATTGAGAATTCTCTAATTGACATTTTTGGCAAAAATTGGTCGACGCCCCTGTACTATAGTACAGGGACTTTGACTCAATTTTTGAGCAACTTTAAAAATTCGTAAAAAAATTAAATTTGATTGGAATCAGCTCAAACTTTCTACACAACATAAGAACTTGTATATGTATCAGAAAATGTTATAAAAATTGAGAATTCTCTACTTAACATTTTTGGCAAAATTTGGCCGACGCCCCAGTACTATAGTACAGGGACTTTGACCCAATTTTTGAGCAACTTTAAAAATTCGTAAAAAATCCAAATTCGATTGGACTCAGCTCAAACTTTCTACACAACATAAGAACATGTATATGTATCAGAAAATGTTGTAAAATTGAGAATTCTCTACTTGACATTTTTGGCAAAAATTGGTCGATGCCCCTGTACTATAGTACAGGGACTTTGACCCAATTTTTGAGCAACTTTAAAAATTCATTAAAAATCCAAATTTCATCAGAATTAGCTCAAACTTTCTACACAACATAAGAACAGGTATATGTATCAGAAAATGTTATAAAAATTGAGAATTCTCTACTTGACATTTTTGGCAAAATTGGGTCAAAGTCCCTGTACTATATAGTACAGGGACTTTGACCCAATTTTTGAGCAACTTTAAAAAATTCATAAAAAAATCTAAATTTGATCGGAATCAGTTCAAACTTTCTACACAACATAAGAACATGCATATGCATTTACCTGATCAAAATCATTATCGATACGTCCGCCATAAATACACTGAGAGAGAAGAGTACGGAAAGCACTCCAGGGTATCTTATCAGGTGGCAAGTTAGTCCTCCCTTGGGCCACAGTATCCAACCAGGTGTCCAGAGTATCGCATGCCATCCTCAAATCAGACTCGTTAAACTCGTACCTAGGGGTGGGGCCAATAAACAAACCACACCCATTAACACACTGACTTTTTCGTCCAACCAAGAGGAGCATATCTCAACCTTTCTTGTAATATGGCGTGTAGCCATGCCAGTAAGAAATAAAGTCGGGCCCTTTCGTGTGGCTCCCTGCACATTCTAGTGACTGGTACTGTAGCAAAGGTTCGGATCAGGTTGGCCTTGATTCCGGGCGGAGGCTCAAATGTCAGGATCTGCGAGGTTCTCAAAAGATTAACCGGGATCTAAAGTGGGCATGGTCAAGATATGGGCGTGGTTAAGACTGTGTAAAAAGGCGTGGCATACCTTAGGATTAATCTCCATTGTTAGGAAGAGACGGAAGTTGGCATGAGGTGAGAGAGAATGAAGCTTCTTCTCTAATGATACTAACCACTGGGCAGCCAAATGAACATTCTTTAACAAGACCCATCTTGAAAATAGAAATAATAATAATAATAATATAATTTATAATATTAAATAAATAAGTATTATTATAATACAATATTTATAACAATAATAAATAAGTATTATTGTTATTACTAAATTCCCCTACCTTCCAGTCTTTGAAGCTGATGAGATGGCTTTCTCTGCAAGATTAAATCCTTCAGCAGATCCAATAGCAATTGATGTACACTGCTTGTTCTGTGATGCTGATAAATCATCAACACGACCGCTAGCATCGTAGCCAGGAACTGAGCACAATAGCACTGGAGTATTACTCTTAACCTAGCAATTAATAATCAGCTAATTAACTATTATTAATTAACTATCAGACACACCTCATCGTTAACAATTTTAGCAAGGTCCAGCTCTTGTTCTGCAGCTGACATAAAGTTTTTGCCCATCACTGTGGCTACAAAATTGTTTCCCATAGCAAGAAGACGATCTGGCCTGAAGGTTTGTATGACCAACAACTGATAGAAGCATTTACCAACAGGAGCTGAGGAGGAGAAAGAGAAGTAAATAATAATTAAATTGCCATAATTTTATTAATCATTAATAACTACCACTAACCATTAATCACTATTAATAACTATTAATAACTATTAATAACTACCACTATCTATTAATAACTCACTCAATGGTAATTCATCATCCCAGCACACAGGGACATTGTCTTCAGGTGAAACACTATTGAGCCATGAAATAAAATCCTAAATTATTCATAAAAATAAGAAAAAAAAAATGAACATTAGCATTTATTATTTCTTCAGCTCACGTCATTCCCTGATACATGGTACGGAAGGTTCTCAAAGGCTCTCAGCTGCTTCGAGAGATGATGCATTGACAGAACCTGGTCTTTAGTGAGTCCCTTCATCTCTGGGACTGAGGAGTCGATACGTAATGAGTCCTTACCTCGTAGGAAGCAATCAAACTCGGTATTGTAATCACTTTCACTAGAGGAGAGAGAGAGAGAGAGAAATTATAATAGTGACGCTAAGTTCTAAATATAACTAGTGATAAAAGATTGAAGATACAGAAAATTAAAACGAACAAAAAGATGTCAACTATGCACACATATACATGTTCATATGCTAGTATAAGATACAGAAGGATATGTACATAGGAATCAATGTCTTACTCTGATCTCTCCTTAAGCTGTATCCTACACAGTAACAGAGCAAGGACTATTCTATCATCATGTAGCATGCCTCTAGCAACACGAGTGTACACCATCTAAAGAAGGGAGAGAGAATGTACATGTACATGTGAAATGAACAGAGCTACAGATCAATAACTAATACTGAATATAATATCAACGTATGTAAAAATATATACAGTACATGGCTATGTACAAATATATGTAAAATGTAGAGGTTGATATTTAGTAGCACACCCATAGAGTGAGACCTCCAAAAATTTAAAAGGCAATGGTATAAAAATAAGCAGGTACCTGGAATAAATCCTGAGTGATGATCCTAAGCCTCTTAGCATAGTCAGACTGCCCCTTTAGGTTAGGATTGACTGTCAGGACATTTTGAAATATGTCCAGGAAGAACTGCAAGGAATACTGGTACAAGAAATGAACCTAAAATAAAAGAAAGAAAAATAGAAATAGGAATGAGTAATTACACTATAAGAAAACAAGCAAATTAAGATAATAGTATTTCAAATTTATTTTGGCATTTTGCAATCAAAATTTTCAATATTGAAATGTTTAGTAATACATGCATGGACAAATTTGCCAATTAAAAGCTGGCCTAATGTATTTTCAAGCAAGACCATCAAAATAAAGCACCACTAAATCACGTGACAGTCACATGATTTCAATTACCTGATTGAGTGACTCCAGAGTGAAGTACATGGCAGAGCAGGAGGTGGAGAGAGGCAGGTATTGCTGAGAGACTGTGTCTACTTCGGCCATTACAGTATCAGTCTCCTCCATCTTCCTCTGAACTTCTGCAGCCTCTTTCTTGAGCGTCTCAAGCTCAGTAATGATTCTAAAAATAGACACATTAATGATTACGTCATGTAATAGTTATTACTATATTTAGATGTGTCGTTACTATTATTAGAATTAGGGGTACCTGTTGTCGTCTAGGATACGACCTTTGACCTCATTGAGTGCAGTGAGGAGACTCTTCTCAAGGTGACGCAAACGAAGGAGGAACTCACCTAATGAATAATTAATTAATCAAATTATATAATTATTAATAAATGATGATTAATTATTGATGAATAATAATGAGGATTGTACCTTGAAGCTTAAGTAGGTCGGATCTCTTCTCATCAACATCTGGTCTCTCGGATTTAAGAACCTAGGAAAGAGAGAAGGCAAATAAAAATTAAAATAATAATAATAATAAAATAAATAACAATTGTTATTACTCTATTAAGGCATTGGCTCTGTAGACTGCTCCTTGTGACGGTGAAATTAACAAAAGTGACTCTAGAGCAAAGATCAGGTGGGAATTCAACAGAAGGATCCCTCGTTGAAAGGAAAATGGTGAAAGAAGGTGACAAGTCAATCTCCTGATCTCCGAGTGTTATAAGAACACGTCCTCCAGTCTTCTTTACTTCTCTATTAAGGACAGGGTTCAGGATTGGGTCATAGCTCTCAACGTCCTAAAGGGGTTGAGTATGGAATAATGAGAGTGTTTCGTGACAGGGTTCTTAGCTCTACCT